ACTTGGGTTGAAGAAAGTCTTATGATTGGTAACACTAGGAGGTGTTAGAAATTTAGTAGCTGTGGATCATGGCCCAGTGGTTCAGAACAACTCAACTTAGCCGAGGTTCATCACTGCTGGCAATTAGAATGAACCTGATCAAGGCATAAAAAGGGACTTCATTTCTGACCAGCCAAGCTAGAATGCAGAGCAAGCATAGATAAAAAAAAAATAGAGGGATAAATACCTACCTGTACCTCTTTCCCCACAGCAGCCAGACTAAGACAGGTGTGTGTAGCAATGGCTGCAAAAACTTGAATAAATTATAGAGTGAAGACTTCTCCCTTTGTCTTTACTCAAACACCAGGACTTTTAGGGGTTTGGGAAAGGTGTCTTGTTGTGGAAAATCCAGACTGGAGTCTTGCTCCAGGTGCTACCTGAACAAAACTGAGCACGTGCGGTTCTTGCAGCTGATCACTAGGGAATCACTGCCCAATGCATTTAACAGCCAGTCTACAGGTTTAAACAGAAACTGTCCACATGAGGTATTTCTCAGGACACCTATGTTTCGTATATACAGTCACTCCAAAATGGAAACTGTCTTGGCAAGATGGGTCTTTCAAAAACTCAGAGTGAGGGCAAGATACAGTGAACCTTAAGCACTGGGGAGAAAGAAAAAAAGGAAAAGCATAAATGGTATTTTTTTGAAGGCTCAATATAGTTCTCTCCAAAACAATGATTTCCTATGAAAAAGTCCATTGTCAAAGCATAGGTATTTTAAGAAGATGTATAAATAACATTTTATCCAAATAAAAATAAATTTTCTTTAAAAATGTTATTTCTTAAAAAGTGAACTGAAAGAAAGGAAGAGAGAGAAAAAGGGTGTGGGAGGAAGGAAAGATCACCTCTTCTTTAGAGAGTTTCCAGTCATCATCCAGATCCATTTCTTGGAATGATTCATGAGATCTTGGTCCATTTCGAATCTCCAGGAGATCAATGTTAAATATCAGTGTACTCTCAGGGGGAATTTTACCTAACATGAGGAAAAAGGGAGGTTAAGTTTTACTTTAAAAATCTCAAAGTTTTGATGATAGAAAACTTTTGGTACTGGACAAATATTCTTTTAATTGAATTCAATGAAGAGCCTTCCTAAGATTATCATATATGATGGAAATTACTTAAAATTATATTTTATTCAAACAAATAGAATAAAGTAGGAATAATCCAAACTAGTAGATTAAAATCAGTCTGTTTTGGCTTTCCTATTAAAAATCATCACACACACACACACACACACACACACACACACACACACACACACACACTCACACAATGGCCTGGGTATTCAATTTCAAATATAATTAAGGTATTACATATTACATGTCAAGTACGACTTAAAGCCCTTTAAGATATTTCAGAGTTATTTATGGTACAAATGATTTACTAACTTGGGTCAGAAAACCCTGACCTAAAAATATATATGGTACTGCCATTACTACCACCGCCATTACTACCTCAATTCATAATTGAGGAAGCTCTGGTGTCATAGTCTCTGGAATTGCAGCTTACTTCTGCCCCTCTCTAAGCCTCAGTTTCCTCATCTGTAAAATGCAGATGACAATATTGCCCACGCTGAGTCTGTTGGGAAGATGAAGGAAGGTAAATCCAAGTAAAATACTTAGCTTATGCTTGATAAATAGTAAGCTCTCAATATATGTTACTAAGATATAAGTCTCTTACAGGCTTTAAAAACAATGCAGGAAGGTTCAACAATTTCAGAACGTTAGGAAAACACCCCCTCAGATATAGGACATTATACATATGTGGAAGAAATTAAAGCACATTTCTGAAAAGGGAGACTCAAATCTTTAAAACTAAAAAGGGCATTGTTCAAGTCCCAGGGATCTTACCATTTTTTTTTCTTCTGGGGAGTATGGACAGTGTTTTTCAACTTGTTTCCTTATAACTATATTTAACATACAGGTCTGGGTAAATATTACAAATGTTTGTTAGTACCCCGCCCCCCGTCCCATATATTTCCATGAAAGAGCATTTGTAAGTGCTAAAGAGAACAAAACTCACACTGTGTGAGGAAGCTTACCGTTCCAGATCTAGACAGAGAAGGGGCATGCACTAGGCTGTCCATAAAACTGGTATCTTCCCAGAGGAGGCATGCAAACGAGGTATCAAAGTACTACAAAATTAGTGTTAAATACATATTAGCAGAGTTAGCTTCAGGGTGCTCAGTTTGAAGGAAATGACTCAAATTCAGATCTCTACTTGTTATAAAGTAAAATTGAGTTAAATGTAGCATGGAGAAAGAGGAACGGGCTAATACGACATGTATAAATATTAAAAGTAAGACAATAAAGATACAGGAAGGTGAAAGAATGCATTTGAACGTAAGAGAAACATTTTCTAGACACTTGATTTTCTTTTCTAAAGAGGATTGTTATTAAAATAAGGATTGAACTTGGTTAGTAAATCCCATTCTATGCATAAGATTTATATAGCAAGTTCCACTTTAGAATATACAATGCTTCTCATATGACACCTATTTTCTTTCCAGGAAACTGGGGCTAAGAGTCCCACTTTGTAAATGGTTAAGCTTACACCTAATGATGCTGTAAGTCTATATTTCTATCACATCAGAATAGTTCTTTGTTTGGTTCTGATGACTACTTAAATTTCGTTTTCCTTCATTATGTAGGTAACATGTGCCCACTGTAGAGAATTTGGAAGAGATAGAACCAGAAATGAAAATAACACTGTTAACATTCTTATTTATTTCTTGGTGATTCACTTTGTATGTGTATGTACATTTTTCTAATAGTTACTACCATGAGTATATATACTACAGCTTTATTTTCTACTTTTATATATAACATTATATCATACACATTTCATGTATAATTTTTTAAATCTTTGAAATGCCATTTAAAAAAAAAACTGGACCATATTTTATTTATCTAGATCCTTCATTATACAGGTAAGCTGCTTCCAACCTTTTTGTCATTAGAAACAATGCAGTAATGGACATCTCTATTCACAAACATTTCTCCTGATACCTGCTTATTCCCTGAGGTTAGATTACAATAGAGGAATTACAGGATACATGCATATCTTATGCTTGAAACATCTTCTGGCCCCTTGTAAATAGCCCTTTAGAAAAGTGCACAGGTTGCCTCTCAAACGAACGGTGTATGTAATGCCTTTATCCCTATTTTAAATGTTCAACTCATCAAAACACTTATGTGGAGCCATCTACTATTTGTATTATTAAAATAAATTTGTGAGTTTCAGTTGGGGAGGATGAAAAAGTTCTGGAGATGGCTAGTGGTGATGTTTGCACAAAAATGTGAATGTACTTAATGCTACTGAACTGTACACTTAAAAATGGCTAAAATGGTAAGTGTTATGTTATGGATATGGTACCACACAAACACAAAAATCCCCACCATATTGGTGAACAATGTTAATTATAATAGAGTTGAAGTTTCCAGAGCCTTTTTTCATGGTTAACTCAGTTGACCATTTGGATATTATGGCTTTAATTGGCCATTTCAAATGATAATCAAGACATAATTATATTTCCCAAAGAGATACAAGTCATCTATTTACTTCTTGGGGGGGAAAAATACGCAGTAGTTACATTAACTTCTGTCTCCTGATGCAGTAAACTCTAGCTGTAGTAAAAATGCCGTATGGCTATTACCTTTTCCTTCTTTTCCATAACCCAGGGCAGGAGGGATAATGAGCTTTCTCTTCTCTCCAACACACATTCCCTTCAAGCCCTGGTCCCAACCTTTGATAGCCTCCAAGACGCCCAGGGTAAACCAGATGGGCTGACCATTGTTATGTTTGTGACTGCAGTAGAAAGAAAACACATAGAATTCTTTAATAACTTTATTTATTTTTTATTGCTGTGGTGCATTGTTTCCACCCACAAATGGTTCAATCAGAAAATTAATGAAAACAGCTACATACACAAACACACAGAACCAAGCCAACTTTATAGTAATTCACCACACTGCCCAAATTTCTTGATACAGATTTCACACAGTTGTCACAGCTAGAGAGAAGTACACAGGGAATAATAAAAACAGCTAACAACTATCTGAGCATTTGCTGTATATCAGGTAGTACCCTCAATGTTTTGCCTCTTTTAACTATAACAATGATCATATGAGGGAAGTGCTATTATTGTCCATTGTACAGATGAGGAGAATGGGTTAAATGTACCAGTATTTGACCTCACTTCAAAGTTCAAGGTCTCAAGCACAAAGTGATGCCATCCCAAGAAGGTCACTAGGGTGCAGAAGAGAGAGAAAAATAATGGGAAATGGGTGAGTTTGGGCAGGAGAATGAGAGGCTAAGGAGAATTTATGGCCAACACACATGGGTCCTAATCCACATGGACACTGTGAGTCAGGAGCATCTTACAGCCTGTCTACAAACTTTCCTGATATACAGGCCTACTGATAGCTCAGTAGCTGGAAAAGGCTGCTTTTCAACCCTGTATCCCCACTCAGACTGGCCCAGTTCTCTCTGCAAAGATCTACTGTGGGGCTACACAGGGAAGCCTGGAGGAGTGGTCAGTCAAGGACTGAGAAGAAAGGACTGGTCAAGATATTCTAGCTCATGAGTTGAAAGGAGTCAGCCTAAGAAAAATCAACCTACCAAGCTACTGATGGGCTTCAGGGCTGAGTAGTGTCTGGGCCCCAGTTAGCTCTCATTTGGTACCATAAGTGTTCTATTTAAGGATATCTTGTATGTGAGAAGGGGAAGTTAGTCTAATAGGTTTCAAGGGTCCCTTAGTCACTAAATCTAAGCAAAGACCATTACTTTCTCTTTTCTTTAATTTCCTCCCATGATCAAAGTAACAAAGTGCCAACTGCAGAAAGTTTGGGAAGGCTAGAAAAAAATAAAGAAGGAAGAAACAATCTCCCACCCAGCACTGACTACAGTTTTGGTACATTTCTTGTCACAGCTGGGGGATTGAAGACTTATTTATTTACCACATCAGCTATGGCTCTAAAAATGGCGAACATGTTTTATAAACTGATCATTTGATGGCATTTCTTCATAATTCTCAGGGTAAGCGGTTCTTGACCACTTACATGGAGGCTGTATGACAACAATCCCCTCAACAAGTATTAGACTTCAGTAGCAAACTGCTAAACAAGAATGTAATTGGAAATTTAAAATGCAAACCATAATATTATTTAATACTCACTGTGCCACTGGCCTTGTTGATAAGAAGATGAGGCTGCTGAGAATTCTATGGCAAGCCATCATTTTGGAACTTTTTGTAAGGGCTAACCGAGTTCAGGGAAGAGTGCCATTCATTTCTCCAAACCCTGGGGATGACCAGGTCTGAAAGCTCAGGTTTGATAGACAGGATAGAAAAATAGATGGACAAGCATGGAGGGAAGCCAACATTTTTTAATCTCCCTAATATCAAGCACAGGGCTGAACATAAAAGAAGTGCTCAATGAATACTTTTGGAATGCAATGAATAGAACCCATGCCTAGTTAGAAATCACTACACTTGTAAAACTTTTGCATGTTGCAATTTCTTTGTTTATAGAACAGACATAATGATAGTGTAACCACCTGAAAATCCTTCACTGTAGGTATGGGATTAATCTTCCATAACCACACACCCACACACAGCAATGAAATCCTTGAATTTCCAGAAAGAAACAAATGATGAAACATATCATGGTCCTAGGCCTTGACCAAAAGTATCATCTGTCAGAACAGAAGTTAAGTAGGTCAATGGGCTAGCATTAACATGTCCTACAAAAAAATAAGTGATGGTGTATTCTGCTCATGGAATTGCTGTAAAAAAGTTTTAAGTAAATTTCACCTACACCAAATTAAAAAGGAATTGAGTCATTTTCCCTCAGGAATGGAGGTTGAGAAATGAGAATTCCTTTAAGCTTTTTTCTATTTAGTGACTAATTGCACACCTAGATATTTCTGCAGTATTTCAGAGATTCTATTTCTAATTTTTATAATAAACAATTAGCTGCTTTACCCTGATCACTTGTTTCCAATAAGACCTTCAAAGATTGGCTTTAAACAATTTCCTTTCCCCAAAGAAGGTAATAAAGATATTTCAGTTTTTTAAAAGAGAGGTAAAACCAGGGCCGGCCGAGTGGCTCAGTTGGTTAAGAGCTCGCTCAAGAGTTTGAGCTCTGAGCAACAGCGGTTCGAGTCCAGCCCGAGCTGAGCAG